GCCCCCCAGGACCCTACCCCCTACCTGTACCCTGACTGCCCAAAACTTTCTCCACTCCCCCCAAAAAGCCCCCCCCGTTTCTTGACTGCCACCTCCAGAACCTTCCTGCCCCCTGGCCCCCTTACCCTGCTTCTCAGAACAGGGTGTTGGGCTCTGTGCGAGCCGGACACGTGGCTGAGCTCCCCTGCACAACAAAACCCGGTCCCTGGCCCGGACCGGACTGCAGGGGAGAGCTGCCCTTGTATCAGCACAAAGTGCTCTCGCTCCCGTTTTGCTACGCTGCATGGCAGAAACCGCTCCCAGTTGCAAAAGGGGAGGGCTGCTCTTTGTGCTGATACACTTACTCAGAATGCAGGGCGGATCCGGCTCCTCTACAGCTGCTCCGGAGTCCAGCCCGGGACTTTCCTGCAGCCCTCCCAGCTGCTCGCTCTGCTCTGCCGGGGGAGGGGGAAATCCCGGACATTGTGAGTGCTTTACAAATTCCCCCCGGACGCTATTTTTAGTACAAAAAGGAGGACATGTCCGGGTAAATCCGGACGAATGGTAACCCTAGCGTTAGGAGAGAAAGACTTGCCCCCTGGCCTAGTGTGACTGACAGCAGGCCCTGAGCCAGCCCTGGGGCTCCCTTCTCCTGCCTGGCAGCACAGCTCCAAGGACCACGTGACTCGGACCTCCCTTGGGCACGGCAGCCCCCAGCTCCTTCTGAAAGGGGTCCTAGCACAGCTGGCAACGCAGCTAGTGATACACTCCTCAGGGCTGGTGGGGGGCGCTGTGCACCCACCCTGCCCCTGGGCTGTCCCCACCCAGGGCAGACCCAGCCACTCTCTGCTCCCTGCCCACCCAGATCCCACCCCTCCTCCCAGGGACTTTCTGCATGGTCCAGGGCTGGGAGGGTCCCTTCTCTCCTGTGCAGGGCAGGCAGCTCTGTGCATGGAGACCTCTGAGCCAGAGAGATGCAGATAGAGAGGGCTGAATCCTGCTCTGATTTACCCCCTGCAGCCTCGAGAAGGCAATGGGGGTGCTCTGGGTTCGCCCCTGGCAGCTAACGGAGGGGGGCCCTTGATAGGAACAAAGTCCCACTGAACTGGTTGCTGATGTCTGCTCCATGCACTCACCTGGTTTGGGTGGATTTCATCCCCTCCCCTCTCTGTCTGGGTGGCAGCTCGTGGAGCAGGGACCTGCGGGTGCAGCACCTCTCCCTGCTGGAGCCGGGCGGGTCGACGAGAGGGAGGAATCCCGCCCTGTTCAGGACCAATCTGGGGCCAGGAAACAACCTGCCCCCAGAGCTCCCACAGGGAACTGCTGAGGACGCCCCCCGTGGGGTCTGTCACCTCTGGGTGCTGGGGCCCTTCTCTGACCTGACCGGTGCCCCTAACCTGCCACCCTCTGCACTGGGAGCAGGTGCTGCTGCTTGGGCCCTTCCCAAGACGGTTCCTTGGGCTCTGGGCAGGCCGTGGTGGTGCTAAGGTGGTGACCAGGCTCCGTCTCCAGCCAGGCCTCAGCCTCTCGTTCCCCCCGTCACAGACACGTGCAGGAGGGAGGGAGCCTGGACCACGAACGTGACGTTTCCCTCCGAGCCGACAGCGTTTCGGGTGAATGACACGGTGCTGGTGACGTGCGCCGCGGAGCCCGAATCCGGCCTGTTCCCTGCAAACTGCACAGAACTGAAGGACCGCGGGGCAGTCTGGGATATCAGTGGAGTCAAGTGTCTCAGTGAGTGTGTGGAGACTGATACAACCCCCGCGCCCACCCCCCGGGCATGGGGCCAAACCTCCCCAGCCAGCCCAGGCATGGGGCTGCAGCCAGTAACGGGCAGGAAATGGCCAGGGAAACCGGGCCGGTGATAACCAGCCACTGGAGCCAGTGACGTGATGCCGGGGGTGGGTGACCTGGGGGTGGGAGTTCTGGGAGGCCGTGACAATGGGCAGAGAAAGGGGGACCGCACTCCCTCAGCCTGCCGAGAAACCCCTCCCAGGGCTGTCACCGTGGGCCCTCCCCACAAACACAGGCT